CGCTATTGTAACAAAAAGCAATTCAACCCCATCGTGAATTAAAAAAATACAATGACATTTAAATAACAAATTTTCAGACGAACAAAACACGCAAAAATGTTCTTGATATTTTAGAAGGTTATATTTCAGCTAATGAATCATATCATATTCATTTATGCGCTTTAACTTTAGGAAAAAGTCGTAGACGTTTTCTCTGAGGTGTTCCTTTTTTTAGAGAATATTTTTTTTAAGACAAAATACAATACGTTATATAATATTTAATATATATATACAAATGTTACATCGTCTGTCAGAAACTTGCACATGCAGTTAAAATGACATTTTAGAAAACTGTTCAGAGGAATACTTTTAAGAAAAACTTTAGATATCAGATATGAACTGGATAAGCCTGTATTTTATTATTTAAACCTAACAACACTGACTCCAACACTGATTTATTTCATCAATTATATATTGATAATAGATACACAAATGACAATTCAGCACTCATATGGTTTATAAATAAAATGAGATTTTGACACTGAGTTAGAATTAATTTGTTATTGTTTATATCAATCTGTGACAAAACGTTTGTCTTTTCCATAGGTTTATGATAAGTGCAGATCTTCCTAAACTCATATTTAACAATTTTTATGTTGAATTCTGCTGGAGCCAGCGTTAGGAGACAGTGGGCAGTTGCTTGTAATTTCCTTCACCGTCCATAAACACGCGATGTAAAACCAAGCCTACTCTTTCAATTTGTTGTTTTTTGCTTTCTTTAAGGGTTCTGTTTTTCTCAATTTTATGATCTCATTTTAGCGCGCAATAAAGTATATCATTTACTTATCTGATAAAAAATGACTGGTTGTACATGAAGTCGTAAATGTGATTTTAATAAACAATTTAGAATTGTAAATGAAAAATTGATTATGCAAATGATAGATACATTGTCAAAAAACCATTACAACATGTGTCGTGTTTTTGTCAATATATTACTTCATATGTATTATTAAACTACTTTTATTGATTCCTTTAAAAATAATGTTCAAAGCACTTTTAAATTACATGCTCAAAGTTGTCTATATTACATTCATTCAAAACATGAGATTCAATTGAATGATGTTTGTGTATACCTCTAAATCTATAAAACAGTGAACCAAAATTCCCACTTGTGTGATAGACATTGCCTTAATGCAATTTAACCTAAATGTTACATCGTCTGCCAGAATTTTCGCTAAATATCTATAAATTTGTTAGACACACGATTTTATCTTTAAGTATTATTTTAATGCAAGCTCGTCTTTATGAATTTACATTTAAGTTTCAAAAGTTTATTTAGCATAAACAAACAGTTTGTTCATTGTTTTACATATGATATTATGTGCATGCAATGTGACAAGAAAACAAACAAACAAACAAACATCAGATTAAAATGATTTTACAAACACTAAAAACTGAATATTATAATACACAAAGGCATTTATTCGTTTCTAGTTGGATTATATGGTTTGAAAACTTCAAACAAATAATTTGTTGTCGGAAATATTCACATGTTTAAATGTTAGAATGTGCGCTCTGCTAAACAATGTTGATAGATGCATGAAACATACATTATTACCAAGTGGATACCATTTGGCTCAGTCGGAATGATTTCTATTAATAGTTTATTTCCTTTTCCATTGTCTTACATATTATTTTAGCTGAAACATTTGTTTAGTTAACTTATTGTCTACATTAAAGTGGCACTATTCTCATCCAACGGTAAACATTGAAGGATCAGGTAAAATTAAAATAACTACATTTAGTTCTATTTAATTTCGATTTAATAAAAATCATCGCATGAGTAATGAATAACCCCCGTGACCCACATAAATATACATATAAATATCCTTTAGAAATTATCGGTAATGATATATTCAGGAAATAATTGACGCAGTCCTTTTATTTAATGTTCAATCGTATTTTCATATGTGTTGTTATATATTGTTCAAATTTCGTAATAAATATTAAATAAATAGAAGATGTTAAATGAATGTTTTTTATAACGAATTGAATAAAACAGAATCAAGGGAGTCCCGCATATCTGGAAAATATCCGTATGACCTCCGTAAACAAAAGTGACATATACATACTTATACCAATATGCGTATCATATTCACTTATTTGCATATTAAATGCACTATTCTGAATATTTAAATTTCCAATTGTCTATTACCATACCTTTGTTAAGAAACATAATGGGTTTGCGACCAGCATGGATCCAGACCAGCCTGCGCATCCGCGCAGTCTGATCAGGATCCATGCTGTTCGCTTACAAACTCTATAACAAGTAGGGAAACTGAAAGCGAACAGCATGGATCCTGATCAGACTGCGCGGGTGCGCAGGCTGGTCTGGATCCATGTTGGTCGCAAACCCATTATGTTGGTTTTGTCGTGACGCGGCTCATTTGAGGGTCACCATCCTACTTAATTAGTTATCATTCCCGAAATGTGTGTATTTTTCTGCGCTGATACATTTTTTTCTTATTTGACTTTGTAAAAAAAAACCTAAAATTTTCAATATAGGGCTTCTACCCTTATCAATGATTTACATTTCAAATTGGTGCATAAATGGAGTGAAACATGAATCTTTAAATGTTTAAGACGTTTTCAGTGGCTTTCATATAGACATATAGTCAAAATTAAACTTTCTAAAAGCAATGATATGCAAAAAGGCCAACAAAACGTCACGCGGACGAGACGGAATTAAATTAATGTAATTAAGTGACGAGGCGGAACTAAATTAATTTAATTATGTGAATTTATCTACCTTACTTTCCTGGGGACATAGTTATTTTAGGTAGTCTTGAGTCGATTCAAAAACAAGCCCTTGTTGCTATCTTTTCAAGAAGGAGACCAAAAGCCATTGAAGGAATCCGAAATACTATTGCAAAGTAATGGAGAAAAACAGCCAGCCAGTGAATTCAGTAGTTGCTAGGATTTGTTCAATGTATAGGAATGGGAATTTCGTGTTGGAATTGGCATAGGTTTGATTTAGTCAGGTAGGAAATGTAAACTTGACAGTAAAGGACAGATAAATACTCGTATTCATACTTTAAAAACAATAATGTTTTTACTTCCTTCTTAAAGGGCATATAGTTTTTTGTCTCCTTCATTGAACCTGGTAAAGAATTCAAAAAGTCGGTAAAATTGTAATAAAAAGTACTAGGATCCATTCTGTTAAAAACTTTATGAACATAAAATTACTGGAACTATTCCTTATCTTATAACTATGAATAGAGGATAGCTTTTGAAAATCACCATGTAGATAGGAAGGGAATTTATCATAAAAGCTTAGCTCTATCACATGCTCTTATCATACCAAGTTTTGCAAAATCTTCATCAGTGATGTTAATAAATTCTGATATATTTAAAATGTATTTTTAACACTTTAGACAAGCCATAAAACTATGAAGAGAAAGAATAATAAAAACATGCATTGAACTAAACAATTTACTTAAGTCTTGCTTAAATTTAAGTCAACAACATTTTTCTGTCTATATAGTCTGGAGTGAACCTAAATATTTTACACTTTTATTGCGGGAATGAATGGCATTGTCATTACATGTTACTATAAAAAAACACTAAACTTTCTTTAATTTTCATTTAGTTGCAAATAAGATATATTCAGGTTTTTTTTCCAAATGAGTCCTACCTACAAGCAATTATATCTAGATTTTTATGGGGAGATTTTATAGCACTATAATAAATGTAAACAATGGCTTTCATATGATTCATGGACAGTTATTCTAGTCTTTATAGATGATATATTATGCAGAGACTTGTTGTTGAATAATACTGGACATACACAAGTTACAGACATCATAAAAATCTTACACATGGACATTGTTGAACAACTTGAACATAGTCTTCAAAAGTTAAACATTAATCTTGTATTGATTTGAGAAGTACATTGGTATATCATACTATTTAAAATCACGATTGATCAAACCACGAAATGATAAAGTTCCGCAAGCAAATGTGAAATCTTAGAATTAATATTAACAAATAAGATGAAGAGCTCATCAACCGCATAAAAAGAGAAAAATATGTAGTTTCCAGCCAGCGACAACAATGGGAGTTATTCTGAAGGATTGTTTCGAAATAATTGGAGTGGAAAAATAATTACACATTAATAATGGTAACACAACTTGTGATATATATTCGGTAATTTATTGGTTAAGATGTAATAATCCCTATAACGCTGCACGTTTGTTACGGTTCTTTTCATTGGCTGCTGTCAATTTATGAAGAAATCTCACTTTAAAAACAAAAAAAATGCTTGCTGTATTATAAATTCGTTATAAGTATTTCTGACAGTTTAAATGATCGTATATAAACGGTTGTTTGCTATATAACGATCGCCTAGCGGCTCGGGTTATATTTCCAAATAACCGTTTATATAGGGCCATATAACCTGTCAAAAATATTTATAACTAATAATATATTCTGCAGGTTTACAAAATGTTCAGTAATCACATCATTTCCTTATGATAAAACCGGCTTTATGATGTTTTAGTCGGAAATATTTACCTTGGCATTGATTTATGTCTTTAATTATTTTTATTCTTTTCACGTCTGTAATTTCCGCGTCATTAAATTTTTCAAAACTGTGGTCCAACCATAATGATGATCCAACCGCCCTTCTAATGTCGGGGTTTGACTGAATCTAACAAGAATATTTTTTTTACAGTTCATATGTAAAAATTTAATAAAAGGAAATTTATTTGAACGTTTTTTCATCAGTTAATATTATCACTACTACAGGGAGTTCAACAAAGGATAAAGTTACGAATTTGAAGTCGAGCAATTACTTATGTTATAAAGTACCATTTCATAGAAAATAACACAGAAACTGGCTGTAGTTAGTTAACTTCCTAGTTAAATGGCGGTAATTGAAATGAACTTAAGACATAACTATTTTGAGGAAGATAAAAGCTATCAGGACATAATCAAGGAAAATCTATTAACTAAGGAAAGTTCTCGAAAACTATAGTTTTGACAATGAGATAAAATCCACTTGTTCATTCAGGCAGTCTCATTTTAGAAGACAAAATGAAGACATTCGTATTTTTTATTAAGGTATGATCTAAAAGCTAGTTTTAGGGGAATAAAGATGGAAAATAAAACAATTTCATTAACATCAAAGCAAAATAAATGTGTCGGGAACGAGGGAAAAGGTGATATAGAAGATGGGAAGAATGAGATGAAGGGAGAATTAACAAATGAAGTCAATGAAACTGATGATACAACTATACAAACTGAGATAGGACAAGAATGTTTAACAGCTGGATGGACGCTAGAAGAACAGGATTTATTATGTGTACTTCCGGTGAAAAAGTCTATACAAGAAGAATATAAAAACCAACGAGGTTTCCTAAAAAAGTATAGAAAACCATTTTTGACAAAACACGGTAAGTAATATTTGACAGATTACTATATAGTGTTTGTCTTAGAGTATGCTATACAACTAATTAAAGTGCGATATATATTTTATTATATTTGACCTGGCTGATTAACTTTTGTTTAATATAACTTATCTTTATTTTTCACAACCTAACTATTTTCGTTGTTACCATAGAAACTTTCTTATGAGAGACTGCTTATGAAAGAATTGTATATATGAGCCGCGTCACGACAAAACCAACATAGTCCGTTTGCGACCAGCATGGATCGAGACCAGCCTGCGCATCCGCGCAGTCTGATCAGGATCCTTGCTGTTTGCTATCAGTTTCTGTACTTGTAATAGAGTTGGTAAGCGAACAGCATGGATCCCGATCAGACTGCGCGGAAGCGCAGGCTGGTCTGGATCCATGCTGGTAGCAAACGCACTATGTTGGTTTTGTCGTGACACGGCTCAATTACGTACCAGTTGGACATTTGTATTAACAGTCCTGTCCTGTATTTTATTAAGATGTGCCTGCTTTGGATATGACTTAATAAAAGAAAGAGTCATATAATTGTTATGTAGAATTAAAATTAATTGCCTTAATAGATAAGTGAAAAAAAAGTTGAAAACTCTTATTAGAAACACAATGGTGATGGACTTCACAATGATTTTAATAACTTTACTTTACATGGAATATAAATATATTCTTGCACTTATTTAGGTATTGATTTGGACAAACCACTTAATTTAGCATGGTAAATGCATTACGTTAAAATAACACAAAGGAAAAATACTTTTTATACCACTCATATTTTTATGCACAGCTCGATATAAATATCTGTTTTGAATAAATTTTTAAGAACGTGATAGATTGGTATATTTTCGGCACTTTACAGTTGATCCAAAAGTTGACACCGCTTCAAAAATTGATTCCTTATTTTAATTAAATTATTTTTGTATTCGTCCATTTTATCCCAATATAGGGTTGTTTCTCAGCATTTTTACATTTTGTTTAAGTAATGAAGGACGCATTTGAACACAAGGCTGCGGGTGAGCTTATGTCGGGGGAAAAAAGTGCATTCGCGCTATTCTAGTATAAAACTACACATCTTAAACTGTAATTCCGCGTGCCGTTATCTGCAGTGCGTATAAAGAAACCACTTCTTTTGTGTCATGCTCTGTTATGTTTTGTACTGGAGCCGTCGTGTGTAGTTTATTTATACTTGCCACCGGTTGCCCATATGGGCGAGTCCTCCAGAAGAGTATTAGTCACTTTAGATTTTGGAGGACAGTGCAGGATACAAAAAGATGCCCCGATGCCAGAAGCTTTTCCTGATTCTTGAACGTGCCAAGTGTTGAAACTTCCATACACGTGACCTCGATCCGAGAGATTGGGGTCGACATTGCACGAGTCACACATATGCGCCCCGAGTCACACATAATTAAAAAACGTGCGAAACCACGTGGTCACGAGAATCTATCTTTGCTGAATATGTATTCCTATCTGCCCAGTTTTTATGTAAGAATTTAGATTGACATAGCTGAGATATAAGTTTTCTCTTCGAAATTAATGTTTGTGTTACTTTGTAAGTGATATTTATTACCATTATACATGTATATTTATCAAGCACCTGGTGCACCTACGTTATTTGAAAGCTTGATACCTCAGATGATGAGAGATAAGATAGAAGACAAAGGTTTAGTTCCACATGATGTGTATCCGGACGGTAATTGTTTGTTCTCTGCTATTGTTGATCAACTCCGTGTCCAGGGTGACTTTAGTTTCACACCACAGACACTTAGGCAGTCTGCTGTGAACTATCTGAGGAGGTATCCAGCAACAGTACGTACAAGTCAAACTAAATTACTTATCAAAATCATGATATTGTATGCTAGAAATTGAGAGTGTATTCTGTATATACATGGTAATTATATACTTATAAATGAAATATTGAGAAATATTGATGATGCGTATTTTCCTTTTTCGGTATTTTCACTGTAAAAAATTTTTTTTCACTGCAGTGAAACATATTTTCCATATTTTCACAGGTGTCTTGCCGGACTACTTTCTTCTAAATTTAGTCAAAACACAAAATTTAAGGGGTAGTCTTTCAAATTCTAATGTGAAAAGGAGAGAGAAAAAATATATATAATAAACAGAAAATTTAAGGGTTTTTTTCTTGTGCTATGAAAATTATCATATTTGACTCGTGGCTACCGCCACTCATGAAAAATTTATTTTCATACCCACGCCCGCAAACTGTCGCTCCACTTCAAAATTGTGGTGTACGGTAAAACGAGCGAACGGCATTTCCGAGATAGAGCGGAAGGCCGATTTAAACGCCTAATTGTAAGTATTGTTAATGTTTTTGTCTTGTTATTCATTTAAGTTGTATTTTTTCGAAAAACGGAAAATGTACTTCCGTGTAGGATTGATTAAGGCTTCCAATGATCTAAGCTGTTACAAAAAGAAAATTATATTAAGCCCGGGAGAACTTTTCTCCCTGACGAAGCGAACGACGATTTGTAGAATATTGAACTTCCCAACCATAGAAATGCCATACCCTTCGGATTTCTTGAAAAGGTGTATTAGTAAATTATCAACCCGTAATAAGAACTTGTCCTTCGTGCAAAATAAATTACTCCTGAAGGATTTCTTAAATTTGTAAATCGATATTTTTCGAAACTAATGGAGCGAAAGGGCAAGAGATGGAGCAAAAGGTACGATGTTGAGCGCAAGGCGATATTATTTTGACGTATTGAGAGGAGCGTAGTCTATGATTTTTTATATATAAAAGCTATAGAAGTTAAAATAGACATGATCAAGTGTTGAGACCGAGATAAATATACCTTTTAAAGACAACTAATAAAGTGTGATATCCTTTCAACGACTATAGCGTAATAAATGTAATCGTGAAGGTGTCACCTTATGGCTGCCGTGTAGATTCCATTATTTATGTTCGAAATTTGGATGAGGCCCGACCATTGAATCATACACATGTATGCATGGCATAATACAGGATCCC